GGGGGGGGGGGGGGGGGGGGGGGGGGCAGGGTTGAGCGCTGAGCAGAACGGGAACACCCTGAAAAACAGGCATAAGCAAAACCAATCCCGCTGACAGATACAAAAAACAATCATGGATGATGGCAAGAACAGGGAGTAATACGCAATAGATGAGAACTTGGGTTCCTTCCGTAGACGACGTGGCACAAGGGTCGCAAGGTCGAGGTAGCTCTAGCTCGCGACCGAGGGCACGTAGGTTTTCTCCCTTGATATTTGGGCAGAAATATCCTGCGGAGCGAGGGTTTTTCATGTAGTTGACTTGTGACACAAACAAAGGCTCTCAGCGTTCCACTTAGCATGATTTCGTTCAGGGTTTTGATGTAGGCGTACAATGTATGCTCTTCCCGTGCTATTTCATCGCAAAACCCACGTCAACTGGCCGGCTTGCAGAAAATTCAAGAGACTCAAGTAACGAACACAAACGGGAATAGACAGATGGAGAGAACGCGCCCATCAAGGCAAATGGCAAAGAGTCAACTAATCAAACGGTGTGTGTGCGTACCGGGATTGGCCGGCGTCCCGGCGACTCTCGCCGGCCTCCACTCGCAGTCCACCGCCAGGGCGGGCCGCTGCGGCCTATCGCCACCCGAAGGCGGTTTAGCACCGCCCTCAACGGCGGGGACGTCAAGCAGCGTCTTGTTGGTGGTAAAATTATTCACGCAGCCGGCATTGATCGCGGATTGTGGTGGACATGGGGAGAGAAACAGAGGAGGTCGGGGAGTAGCATCGCCGAAGGGGTACGAAACGCGGGGGGAGGGAAAGGCCATGTCAGCCACCGCCGAATGACGTAGGCCACCGCGTCAATGGCTCCGGGTTCGGTCTTGAGGGCTGCCCGGGAGTCGCAACCACACATGTAAAGCATCATGTCACTTCATTAGTCTAGCTAGCGGAGTCCATGCTAACGCACCCACAAACAACACAAATCCCGACACAGTAGGCCATTCTTTCGAAGGGAAGGGTGCACCACACTCCCCCAACGCTTCATCCTACATTCCACACACGGCATACCCAGTGGCAACCAGGAATGCTCCATTAGCCAGGCTTTCCAGGGGAATCGATGCACTGTGTGTGACGGACGCTGATGGCATCGGTAGTCGGCGGAAACAGCGTCGAATGGTCCCCGGAAAGAGTAAAGAGGGAAAAATTTCAATGTTCAAAACCGGTCAAGCTCTAGGAAGCGACTGTACTTGCTTCGATGCGTCACTTTCACTCCTGCTCCCGTTGAGCATCAACAGCGAGATATCGGTGCTTTGATCTCCACGGCCGTTTGCCGCATACTCAAAAACAAGGGAAGAAGAGAAGCTTATTGTACTCGTGGTGGCGTTGGACTCAAAAAATTGGGGATGTCATGAGTGATGCGTGCACTCTTGCCCCGCCTCCTACTCTCGCCGGTCCAACCTCCATACAACAACCCCCCACTACGTAGTATTTTTCCTGACCATTTCATCCAGCCAAACATGCACCCACCCCAAACCGTCCGAAATCCCTCGTTCGCCACAAGACCACCACTATCGACGCACCCTGCGTGATCCATGCCGCCTCGAACACGATGCCTTACCCCGCTACCCCTTCTCATCCGCGTCGCCCTCACCTTTCGCAAAAACTTGCCCATCTCCTTGAGCCGCTTCGCCGAGTCCACGTACACGACGGCGGACTCTTCGAGGTCCATCTCCAGGTAATCGCCGCCGCCCGTCCACTCGTCCCCCTTGCCCACCAGCTCCGGTTCCACGAGGGGGGCGTCTTCGAGCATCCTCACCGAGCAGCACACCAGGTCGTACGTCTCTAGCTTGGCGCTGTCGTCCTTGTTGCTGTCGGTGGTGGGGGCACCGTCGAGGTGGTGCTTGCGGGTGTCCGGCGTCGGGCGCCCCGTGATGTATAACAGCTGTTGGTCGGGGGGG